GGCCAGAATCGGCCAAAACTGGCAGTGTTGATGACAGAAACGTAAACACATCCCAGGGTTTTTTAATCGTGGAAAACACTCTGGGACCCCAAAATAGTGAGTAATAGTCCATGAAACGGGCCAGAATCGGCCAAAACTGCCAGTGTTGATGATCGACAAGTAAACGCATCCCAAGATTTGTTAATCGTGGAAATCACTCTGGGACCCCAAAACAGTGAGTAATAGTCCGTGAAACGGGCCAGGATCGGCCAAAACTGCCAGTGTTGATGACCGACACATAGACGCATCCCAGGGTTTGTTAATCGTGGTAATCACTCCATGACCCCAAACCAGTGAGTAATAGTCCATGAAATGCGCCAGAATCGGCCAAAACTGCCAGTGTTGATGACCGATACGTAAACGCATCCCAGGGTTTGTTAATCGTGGTAATCACTCTCGGAACCCAAAACAGTGAGTAATAGTCCATGAAACGGGCTAGAATCGGCCAAAACTGTGAGTGTTGATGACCGACACGTAAACGCATCCCAGGATTTGTTAATCGTGGAAATCACTCTGGGACCCCAAAACAGTGAGTAATAGTTCATGAAACGGGCCAGAATCGGCCAAAACTGCGAGTGTTGATGACCGACACATAGACGCGTCCCAGGGTTCGTTAATCGTGGTAATCACTCTGGGACCGCAAAACAGTGAGTAATAGTCCATGAAACGGCCCAGAATCGGCCAAAACTGCGAGTGTTGATGACCGACATGTAAACGCATCCCAGGGTTTTATAATCGTGGTAATCACTCTGGGACCCCAAAACAGTGAGTAATACTCCATGAAACAGGCCAGAATCGGCCAAAACTGGCAGTGTTGATGACAGAAACGTAAACACATCCCAGGGTTTTTTAATCGTGGAAAACACTCTGGGACCCCAAAATAGTGAGTAATAGTCCATGAAACGGGCCAGAATCGGCCAAAACTGCCAGTGTTGATGATCGACAAGTAAACGCATCCCAAGATTTGTTAATCGTGGAAATCACTCTGGGACCCCAAAACAGTGAGTAATAGTCCGTGAAACGGGCCAGGATCGGCCAAAACTGCCAGTGTTGATGACCGACACATAGACGCATCCCAGGGTTTGTTAATCGTGGTAATCACTCCATGACCCCAAACCAGTGAGTAATAGTCCATGAAA